CAGAAGTATGTAAAGGTCCTGCACTCAGGGTTTACCGTGCGTTGCGCAGTCCTCAACGAGGGGGACGTATTTGAATTTTTTTCTCTGAAGGAGGTCTTTTTTTTGGGGTTGGTGAAGGTCAAAATGTTGGAAGTGGAATCGTATTTGTGGAAGTCGGAAGAGTCGCGGTGGCGGTAGCAGCCAGGGGTTTGGGAACGAATTTTTATAAATTTATATGGAAAAATTGCATAAAGTAAGCATGATTAGGCACGAAATGGTTAAAGGAATCTTCCACGGAAAAAGCTCCGCCCTCATTACCACAGAAAACGATACCTTAAAGGAATCTTCCACGGAAAGAGTGATCATTTTGTCTTGTGTGTAGGATTAGTATTATCGAAACTAACGCTTATGTTCCGTTCTTTTTGCTATGCTCATGAGGCTAGGGGCCTAAGGGGTATCGTTTTTCTGTGGTAATGGAGGCGGAGCTTTTTCCGCGGAAGATTCCTTTAGAGGATTTTCGTTACGAGTCTGCTCCCCTAGCCGTTTTGAAAGGAAAAAGGAGGCGGAGCGTGTCACGGGATGTGAGGGAGTCGTATCGGGGGACTTCCCTAAGGCTGATGGTGGAGGGATTGTAATGAATAGAGATGGAGGTGTGTCAAATTTCCAGTATTGGAACCAAGGTCACGTTGTAGCCGGACTGCACTTGATTTATTGGCTCTTTAGCACTGTACTCACAGCAGTCGAAGTAGTAACTTCTAAAGCGCTTTGTTAGCGCTGTATCTAACAAGCTTCTTCAGTTTTGTCGTGTTTCGACGACCCGCTGCTCCAACAAATGGTAGTGGTATAATGTATATGTATATCGCCTGGAAGATGTTTTGAACGAAAGCTACGAATTTTGTTTTTAGGCAGGATCGGCAACAGTGTGCATGCCACATGTGTGTTGGCTTGCACAGTGCTTCATGAAACCGCCGCCGCAAACGCTCTTGGCTCCATCAAGGTACCTTTTAGCTACTTCTCGCTTTACTACTTACCCACGCTGTATTTGCTCTCAAGTTATTTGCTGAATTTCTGAAGGTTGCGCCGTACATTCGGCCGCTAACGATCCCCACGCGATATCTTATGGCTGCTGAATGGTGGGCGTCATGTAAATAAATAGGTGGACATAGAACCAATCATTGAATCGGCTCTATACTTTTTGTGGTCCTTAGGTAAAGATCGCGATCATTATGAAGTATCAATTTAGTGCGGCTGAGTGTTGCCGCATTTAGGGCAGCACTTAGTGCTGTCGTTCATTGTCCGTTAGGGTCCACGGATAGCTTGCCTTGACCCTGACTGATCGTAGTTCCGAAAGATTCTGTTACCTCTTACCCGTATCCTTCCGCTTTGCCCTCCACCTCCTACTTATTCACTGGGATGCTTCTAGAATGGCATGAAGGGTTCAGCATTTGAAGCAGCGATTTCGACTGCGGGCCATAATCAAGAAAGAAAATGGGGGAAGTCATCCGTGTTGTCACCTTTCTCACCACCATTCCCAGCCGATGCTATCATTTTCACCGAAGTAATAGATTGACTTACATTGGATAACGGTAATCATTTAGCGGTGGCTTGCTTAGCTCTAGAGCTCAGGGGAGTGATGCTAGAAGGAGTGGATGAGGATTGGAGATGGCCTTCCAATTTTTATTAGTATTTATTTTCCTAAACTTTATGAGGAATTCCCCCTCAAAATGCTGAAGCTCATTTGCAGACTTTGCTTCACCGTAACTTGTATGTTCAAGTCTCTCAAAACGCATCATTATTGAAATTAATTTCCGACTTTTTTGTCTTCGTCGTAGATATCTGACTCCTACCACCCAGAGGCGATCTTGACCACCTTCAAACGATATTTCTATGGAGCCTAGTGATGACTGCCTCCGAAAATCGCTTCAATAAGTCTCATGACCTAGCCATCTAGTTCTTAACAGATTCAGAGAAAATTGTAGGAAATAAGGTTTGTCGATGTCAAGGAAACGATCGAGCAGGAGATCGCCACCCAAATGAAGGCGAGATTTGGTGAGTTCTTATTCTTTTGTCGAACAAATGTTTGATTTTATTTTGTTTTTCTACTCAAGCGCAAATGGCTAGATTTCAGGGACATCTGGTGATGATGAGGCGGGGACAGCAGGGCATGGCGAAGGAATATGAAATATGCAAAACGAGACCGAAGAGTTAGACTTACTTATTGCATAGTGCCGTCCTTCAGTAGCCGTAGTACCTTCGAGAAAACTAAGAAATTGTTTTCGATGCATGGAAATTACATGGACGTGACCCATCGGATAAACTGTGGAGCATAGCTAGTTAGCCGTTTTACCATTGGGATCTTTGCTTGATTCGAACCAGCGTTGAGCCATTTGCGCTGGCGAAAAACTTTGGGATCAGCACAACTTTTCAACTTCGGTGTTGTCCACAGAGGGAGAAGGATGTTACTACTGGAAATGACAAGTGGGTTTATCTACCAAACATGGTCCTTTTCCACAGAGGGAGAAGGATGTTACTATTGAAATGACAGATGGGCCTCAAGCTACCAAAACATCGCGTTCCTTTTCGCCCTCCCTGATCTCATAGGACCTTCTCATGCGACGATATTGCGACACGAGGGCGTGAACACTGTTCTTAATTAAGAAGGGAGCCCTCCATCGGGCCTCAGTCAGTCTTGCATTAATATGTGGAAATAACAAAAATACGGCGTTTCAGGGATCTGATAGTGGCTAAATATGGAATCAGAGGTGCAAAATAAAGCGGAGGGGTCAGAAAACTGTCAAGACGAGAAAAGTGGGACTCTAATTCTCCCCCTTGATTCTAGATAAGTTTACGGATTCCATTAGATGTTTAGATGCCGAACATTTTGGTGAGGGTGTTCCAATAGAATGTGGCAGGAGACAGGACAGAGAGGTATGGTACGGCTATATGGATAGAAATGCACTTGTGGAATGGAACCCGAACGCTATGATGAGGACACCGCAAATTCCAATGGCTACGTTGGAGAGTGGGACGATTTCGGAGAAGGCTGCTCTCTATAACGTCTGAACCGAAAGTGCGTTGCAACTTGTAGTCCCTTTCACCGCAAAAAAGCCACACTTCGTCTTATCGCCGCAGATTACTGCTTCCACTGGTGCTCATATTTCCTTGTTGCAGGGCCACTTTATGGTGCTCGTTGCCTTTACACCCCACGAATAGTTTATTCGAGCAACTCTTACGGTGAATATAGCTGTAGGGTCTCAAAGAACAGGAACCGTGGCAGTGTCGTGACTCGAAAGTGCGTGATAGGGGCGCGAAAGCCACTCTCTGGCCCCTGATACTGCTGCCATTTTTCCTTGTCAACGGCACCCGCAATGCCTGCCCTTTCGTAGAAAATGTTCTCGCGTGTTCTCTCTCGTCGTGGCACTGCGTCTCCCCGTCACACCACTATCCACTTCACAAGAAGGGTGTTTCTTATGGGTTCTTTTGCTTTTATCTTCACTGGCGGTCCTCGTTTCACCACTGATTTCATGTTGTTCTCCAAAAGAGCAACCCACTCGATCACGAGGTGTGCCCTTGAAAGACAGGAATGGAAGATTTAATATCTTTTTTTTTCAAATGAGATGCAAAGTCACCTTTTGGTAGCAGGTAGTGGTGGTAATGAGACAGTAAGGCGGAACGGAAAGGCCCTCAAAAGTTTGGGCGCTTAAAATACAAAAGTGGGAAAAATTCGGTTTCTCTCAGTCATTTTATGTGACCTCCTGGTAATACATTATTATCATCACAAATCAACATCACTGCAAAAACGCATGGAAACTTTGACGTCCATTCAACTCTTTTTCTCTTTTCCAAAAGGTAGTTGACTCTACGCACAATAAGTAGCACTAACTCCAACCTCCCTTCACATTCGCACTATATCAAAAACTGCAATTCGAAGAAGAAAGATGGGGAGGTGTCACATAATCACCTCTACATGTTCTGCCGAAACTTTTATTCATAATTTAGTAGGAATACCGAGAAATTATTTGAAATGATCTGTTTCCCCTCCCCGTCTGGATTGCTCGACCAATGGCGCCCGCTACTCCCTCAAATCTACCATGACGTAGGAACATTGCTGCAGTTTGTGGTTACGACAACTCCGTAGGTAATGGAGTGGCATGCCTAGACCACGGAACCGAGCTTGGCTGACAGACATCTGAGAATGTCCCACAGATGGGGTTGTGCACACAAGAATGGGAACGCTTACAAAATCCCACTGATAAAGATAGCGGTGCGGATCTTCACGGCGGTGCAGCAGGTTCCAAAAGCTAAGAAAGGCAGAAGAATGATGAATTGCAGCAAAGCGTGAGATGGCAGAAAAAGACAACGATATTTGACTCTTCCGGGCACCCCCAGACGCGAGACCACTCCTTTTTTTTATCCCTTATCCCCTCTTTTCCTCTTTTTTTATTTTTTTTTCCGTCCTTTTTTTTTTCTCCTTGAATTTTTTGGGGCCGGATGGACTATTTCATTTTTTATGCGTGTGAAATCGGCCACCGATTAGTAACCTTCGGGTGCTTGTGGATGGACCGGATGAAGAACAAAGGCGCGAAAGATTCATGACTGGTTCGAGAGGAACATCGCTCTCGCTTTTCGGGAAGGCATGCACTTATCTACCTTGAGCTGGTATGGAAATTAGCCGGATGATATACCACTTGACAAACTCACTGTTCTTGGCTCTGAGGAAACGCACTTATTCTCCAAAACCGAAGAGCGGGAGATGGGGTGGAGCTGCGGTAAGTTATAGTGGAATTTTAAAATACTTGTGGCATATTGGCTTCCACTTCGTCAGAAAACAAATCGTAAAAAAGGGATAAAGTAGAAGACATCATAAAGCGCGTTGCGTGCCAGTTTTACCAGGTTCAACAAAAATCCGGAGATCATTCCTGAGTGGAGCGCTCAAGAGCAGTAAGAATCCCGCAAGCCGCGCATTCCGCTACGCTGGAACAAGGAGCAGAGAGCATGTTGCATAGCCTCTCTCATCCGTGTCGATGCTGACCAGTTTCGAGCACTATCTGCATGGTGCAAAATTGGGCTCAAACGTCGTCAAAGCCAAAATTCACGAACCAGAAGCGTGATTCAATAAAGGAAGTGACATTCGTAGATTGCTAGTTATCCTTGCCTTACAGGTTAATAGGTGGACCATTTATCAGTGGCCTCACATTTCGATGAAATCGTCTTTTCAGAGGCCGCCGGTTCCACCCTCTGAGCAAAGGGCTTGTCTAACGGTGTCTGTAGCTGGAAATGGCACGAAAAAAAACGAAACCGCATCCTAGCCCTGGGATCACTATTGATGTGCATTTTCGAGCAGCAGCTTCACGGAAAATAGAACGATATGCCTTGTCCAGGTGATGAATATCGGGGTGAACGACGAGAAAAACAAATTTGGCAGAAAGCTGAAACTAAAAAAATCAAACGGTAAAACAATGTCCGCATATAAAATTATCGTGAATCATTTTCAAGGGGATCAAACCATAAAAAAACTGCAATAATTTAGAATTATCCTGAGCCTGCGCTGATTCGCTACACTTTTGTTTCTATGTGTGTATTTCTTTGTGAATTACACTGCGTTTTGTCACGACAGCCATCTATGAAACTACCACAGGGTTCTCAGCAGCCAGTGGAATATACGGTAAAAATGCCTCGACATGGTTCTGTGGCGATGTGAGAATAGTAATCGAGAGTGAATGTGGGCGCTGAGAGCACAGACGGCTCGCGTGTGGCAAGAGTGAGTCCGCGCGGAAGAGCGTGGCTGAACAGGCAAAAACTCCTCGACGAGCCGTCGACGAATCCTCGACCAACTTTCACCCTGGTCCCTAACATCTACGCTTTCCCATGTTGACAGATTCGCTAATCTATTTGATAACGTCAGAGAACTTGATTTCCCATTCTAAGTTCACAACTGCAGCATTCACATTGGTCGCGCTATGCCTTTGTGGAACATTGAATTTCTGGATTCGAGGCAGAAAAGCCAACTCTTGTCAATTGGGTAGTTATCGGTATGGATTCATGCTAATATCGAGACGAGAAGTTAGTAGTTTTGCTATCCCACTATATATGAGACCTGGCTAGTTTGTCTGTAAGCAGTTTCTGCAAAAACCAGCAATACCTGATCGACCACCCACAAGGCCAATCGATTTTGGGATAGAAAGTTCACAGGAAAAGGGTTCAGAACGCACATGAGCTTTGAGTCCAAAACCTTGCTCTATTTCAGCGCCCGAACATCTTCATCGTAAACAAGACCATGGGCTGAGCAAAAGACGCGTTCTTTCCAATGCTTTTGCGTTGTTTAGTTTTCTCTTCGATGTATTCCACTTCGCCACTTCAATTTTCCAACATATCACCCACACTTAAGCATTCTTGGAATATGCCAACGAACAAAACATCGTCTCGAGTGACATGTTCAGCCATTTAGTTGTGTTACATCGATCACGATCAAATCCTGAATGATCGTGAGAGGTCCAGATTTCCACCATAAATCAATATTTATGAAAAAATTCTATGGGTAAGGTAGTAACTGCGAGCACACCTTATCATAATATACAGGGGAAGGGGCAAAAAAGACATTTTGCCCATGTCGCACTTCGGCCCTTTTTTCTTCGCAGAGATTGCCGTCGTTGACGGAAGTTCCTCAGCAAAATATTCCCTAAATGTCCCTCTATAAGTAGACGCAGGCCCTCCTTCACTGCCCTCACCGTCTTCAGAATATGACGTCATCTGTCATCGTCGTCAAGCTCAAGGAGGCCTACCGTAACTGCTTCAGCCTGAAGCTCTTACATAATTTCGTGAATCGATTCAATGTTGGATAGTTTCTATGCAAACCCCCTTGAAACTTGCTTTTCGGTAAAGGTCGTTATGGTACACGATCCTTCGAAGACCCCATTGAGCTCGACCAGTGCACCATGTTTCCAGGGCAATTTTCTGATGCCACGTAGGTGGCCACTATGAAGATTTTCTTATAGAATGGAATGCGCTCTTCAATACTAAGTTGGACCGTTCGGTTGAACTTGAGCAAAGTGTGAATTAAATCCATGAAGGTGGAGACAGTGGAGACAAAATGTCTTTCTTATTGCCCCCTCCCTTGTATACGGTCTGTATGACCGAGATAGCGTAGGATCCGTCAGAGAATGAAGGCGCTGATCTAACAACAAATATGTACATAATGACCGTTTTGGCCCGGATATGCGCACCACAGCAATGCGTGGGCCCGATTCTTCCGCGACTCCAAAGGAAATGGATTGCATGGCACATCCCAAAGAATTTAAATGTCCTCAAGGATTCACACTCTCTGCTTTTGATAGCTTGAGAGCTTACTTCAGCACTTCAACGCTTAAGAAAAATGAATGTGGCACTCAAGCTAACCTTCGTCTTCGAGGTATCCACAACAAGGATATCACCACGACCAAGCCACTGGTTCAATCCTTCCTTGGCTATTTTGGAGGCTTTCTTTCTGAAGATGAATGAAACTGTAGTATTTATTGATAGAACGTTTTCAAGAAACCTCTAAAAGATCCGAAATTCACGCACTTTGTACTCTCCTAGACCTGCTGCTCTTGTGAGAGATTTCCACACTGGAGGAGAATAGTCCAGCGTGCTGCTCACAGTCAGGCAGATCACATCCGCGGTTTCACCGAAAATGCTGCCCTAAAAGTAAGCACCTTGGGGCGATGTGAAGCATAAAAAGAGTTTGTCAACTCGGAACTGTCGAGGTCATTTGCGCTTTAATGACTACTTGCAGCAGTATTTTCCCAATGCACGGTGAGGCAGGTGCCAGGCTTCGCAGCCATTCGTTAGCGAAACGCGCGTTCGCTTGCGACTGGCGCAAAGCCTGACCGCTGCCCAAAAACGATTAACAACATCGCGTTGAATGATCCATGAAATCAAGAGGGGTGCGTATGTGGAACACATTTCAAATGGTTGCTCTATCGTTGTTTTCGTATAAGATGGGATGAAAAGATTTAAGGCTTCGCAGATGTCAGAGGTTTACTATATGAACTGGTCCATATATGAAGGGTAGTGACCTTGACCTTTCCCACAGATACACAAACTACGGCTAACGTAGGTACTCCTCTCTTACCGATTTAGCAATAACCTGGCCGTCCCTTGCCATTCTCTCTTTCCCTTTTTGCCCTCCCCCCCCCCCCCCCCCCCCCCCCCCCCCCCCCCCCCCCCCCCCCCCCCCCCCCCCCCCCCCCCCCCCCCCCCCCCCCCCCCCCCCCCCCCCCCCCCCCCCCCCCCCCCCCCCCCCCCCCCCCCCCCCCCCCCCCCCCCCCCCCCCCCCCCCCCCCCCCCCCCCCCCCCCCCCCCCCCCCCCCCCCCCCCCCCCCCCCCCCCCCCCCCCCCCCCCCCCCCCCCCCCCCCCCCCCCCCCCCCCCCCCCCCCCCCCCCCCCCCCCCCCCCCCCCCCCCCCCCCCCCCCCCCCCCCCCCCCCCCCCCCCCCCCCCCCCCCCCCCCCCCCCCCCCCCCCCCCCCCCCCCCCCCACCCCCCCCCCCCCCCTTCGTATAACTCTCGAATAATATAATTCAATATTCAACAATACAACCGGCCACGACACATGTAACTGAACGAAAACACGAAAAATCGATGTCATAAATGAAATAGTTTTTTGAATAGTAGCAAAAGGAGCTAGGAGAGGGGTTTGTTCTCAAGTATCTTCCTCGTATACTTACAATATTAGCTGGATTTACATTACAGCAGAAACGAGGCCCGCACGTAACGATCTAAAATCTAGGAACTGGACTATCTGGATCTCTCGCTCACTTTTTCTAACAAGAATGTTCCCAGCTTCAAGCAAAAGCAAAAGGCGTTGCATGAAGCCGAGCCAGAACAAGATACTGCGCTGTTACACAAGTATTTTGGCCTTTTTCAAATGAGTGATTACCTTCGAAATTCTACGTTTTCGCATTATTCATACTTAAACAAGAGGAACTGATTTTGTTTCCCTTTTTTACTTGTTCCGCTTCTATAATTCGTATGCTAAACAGTCTGTAGACATACCTCTGAAGGAGCAGATCTACAGAATCTGTTAGGCTGGTGTCAGAGTCCGCGATCCGTCGCAGGTTTCGCGCGATTCGCGCGGGATCGCAAAAATTGCAAGTGCCCCATTTGAACATTTGAAACACTGAATATGAAACAAGTAGAATCATGAACAGTCGTCATTCAGCCATCACCATCAAGCAGAAATGGCGGCGGATTGGAGAAGCACCTTGCAGTATTGATCGGGCACTTGTGATTTCTGTGACCCGTCGCGCGAATCGCGCGAAACCTGCGACGGATCGCGGACTCTGACACCAGCCTTAGGAATTGTCTATATATGTGACAGCAAAATGAATCACCATGCAATACACATAATAATGAACGTTACTTTTATTTCGGCACGACAACTCCTCGAGTAAGCTCTTGAGTCCAAGGTGCTATGAAAAAGCAAAAACAGCTCCAAATAGTCTCGCAACAAATGTACTGTCGTCTGCTTCTCAGAACTGGAAATACGCCTAACCAGAAGATGGGATATAGTTTATAAACTGCACATTCTTTAGGATTAGGTTGGATTTCATGTTCGTGAAAAGAGGGCTACATTTGCGAAAATCGCCAAACCGGCAATAAACTCCATTTTTCACTACAAAGAACCCAGAAATTATTACAAAAACCCAAAATATTCACAACGAATGTAAAAGCAAAAGTCATAATTTCTACCGAAAATTATGTGGCACAATGTTAGACTTCAAACTTTAACACATTGCGTACCGCGTGCGCCACCATGTGGCGCACGATTTCGCACGAAACAGCATAGTTTTATCTGATTTATTTGACATTTTTCAATGCTCCTGAACTGTTTGCACTCATTTTCAGAGCCGGGAAACCGTGTCATCACTGATAAAATTGTTGATAGATTAATGATGATACATTTTTGAAAAATATAAAAAAGATACGAAGGTACTCATACAACGGCGGTCCGCAATGTGTTAAAGGAGAAATTTCCATTCGGAGAAACTACATTACTTATGTAACAAGCCTTGTAATATGAAGTATTACTAAATATTCAGACCCAATGGATGCAACTCTTCGATGTCGAACGGCGGTGGGCGCTATCACAAGACAAGGGGGCACTGGCAACACATTCAGAACTACATTCTGTTGTAGAGTCCTAAGCCTAAAAGATGGGGTGGGAGAGGGTCTTTAAGGTGCGTGGATATCTCTTCCGGAGCTTCTGTTCTCAGCTAAACTTGTTCTTTTTCAACAGGTTCATCTGACAGAGCTGGTCCTCTAGAGTTCTTACAAGAATCAATCATAAAACTGTAATACAACAAAGTACTACTATTGAAATTCTCGCCGATCGGACAATAGAATGAAGAAAAAAGAAAAACACCAATGC